AGGCCGATATAAATGGGACAAACGTGGCGTTGTGAGGTAACTGTATACTGGTTGGTGGGCGTACAAAAAACAAAGTAATCATGATACATAAGAGATATCATACGACGACAAATTATTGTCAAGATTGTTTTAACAATATATTTTTATTTTTTTATAGAATAAGGGCAACGAACGAGCAAAAGTCCACGTGAGGGTAATCAAGAAATCAAGGTTGATCAAGAATCAAAATGCATACCGGGTTGTCATCCCTGAGGAATAATACCAGGTTCTATGTTAATAAAATATTTCGTTTTCTTATAAGAGCCATTTTACAGTACTTAAATTTCATTAAAAAACCTTTTCAACCGACTTCAAATAAGGAGGTACTCAATTCGACTGTATTTTTTTAATGTGTGTTACCTCAGAACTTTTTTATAGGTGAACTGATTTTTATGATTCTTTTTTTTTATTTGAAAGCTGATGGTTCTGGCGTGGTCCCATATAAATTTAATCAGGATGTGACCAGTAATTTTTCAGTTATCCTTATCTAATTATGTATATTTAATTGACTTCGACTACATTGATGATGTTCTCATTTTATTTCAACATTTTTAATTTTAACGTTTGTTAAAACGAAATGTTGGTTCAGCAACTTATGACAATTTGGTGGTGACGGGATTAGCGTACGCCATTGAAGGACGTCCGAGAGGTGCTCTTCAAACTAAATAAGACACATCATTTTATTTTATGACTTGCATTTTTGATAACTTGCAAATTGCTTAAAAATGTTTCATTTCACACACAAGAGCTGTTAGTTTACGCTAGTATTCTGTGAGAGCGTGTTTTTCCACGGTCCACGGTCTAGGTTCAAGAAACCATTCGTGATACAGCCATAATATAGCTGAAGCGTGGCTCTACCACATATAATACGATTTTGTATCTCAAAATGAATTGTTTATAACAACACTAAATGAAGCCCAGTGTATGCATATTTTTTATTTCTAAAATAGTTTTTTTTTAATGTGACAACCCCATAAGGTCACGTTACCTTAGGATAGTCCTACGACCATCTCGTATGTGAAAAATGTAAAAAATGTAGAGTGAACATGGAGGTTCTTCAAAAGTCTAATAAGTCTGGAGCTGGGATCAATGTCCACCAAGCGTGGTGATCAAAGTCCTTCCTATTGTGGGAAACTTACATATCTAGTACATTGTTTAATCGCTAATGCGAGGAAGTGATTTAGGCTATGGTCTAACAAAGCTCAACGTCTTTATTAAAAAAATATCAAAACTTATTTAATAAGTATCTAAAAAATGTAACCTTAATTAATGCATTCGGTATAATAACTTCATTGCGTCGCATATTTAGTAATTAGCATTGTCATACAATACCCGCAGATCGTATGTCGGCGATTGCGTCTAACTCGCAAAACAAACATGGCTGCCTACACATGTCTGCAGTATGATAACTGTGTTGCCATAATATTTGTGTATCGAATGACCTTTTTGGGTAAGAAATTGAGACATGAAAGTTTAGTTGGTAAGCACCATATAGGCATACAGTTTATTCTCCCATGACCGTCTTTCTATGACAATATACAAGTGAAGGTCTCAGTAACAATCACGTTCGAAGTCCACGTGATGAGTGCCTAATAATGAGCAATAATATTTACATATAAATAATATTTGTTATATTTTGAAATATAACTACAGAATAGAAATTAATAATATTTACTTAGATTATAAATAATTCTTACTGAAAGTATTTTTTACGTTTAACACCGGTGGTGGTGGAAAAATTTATTGCTACGTGCGATAGTAAAACTTGGCGGCTTGAAATAATTCTTACAATTCCTGAAGAGGAAAAGGTAATGAGATTCAATGCCTCTTTGCAGTCAGTGGATCAAGGCGATTATAAAGATCTCGGTCGTCGACGGCTCGAACTATGTGATAAGCGCGCATCCTTGAAGCACTAAAATTACCTCCCGCATAATCGATATCTTCTGACTTATTCCAAAGATGTTACCGTGGTCAAATCGGCCAAGAGCACATCTATAAACAAACTGTAATTTATAAAAATGAATATTTGTTTCTTTGTTTTTTGACGTCTTCTATTTTTATTTATTTTATTTTTTTTTCGGAAAACTTACAACAATTGCTTATTTTTATATACTAAAACTTATAACAATGTACTGTTAAGCCATTTACAATTTTCGACTTTTAGAATTAAAAATAAAAGATATACTTACTATATAGATAAATCAACTAGTTCATAATACCTTAAAATTAAAAACTATATGTATTATGAATATTTTAAGAATTAAGATTTTTTAAGCAAAATATGCGATGGTTAAGGCACTTTTGGCCACACTCGGGTATGTGTTAAATGGATCAATACAATAAAAGTTAAGCGAGTTTATAAATTTAGCAGTTCCAATCATGAAATAATTACGTCTATAGTTCCTTTAGAAAGAGTCTCATAAGTATTGGAATAAAGAAAAGCAAAAAATTCTATATTAGATTTTTGCTATATGAAACGGACCGCATACCCTCATGTGTTTTTGAAAGACCTGTCCAACGATACCCCACACGGAGGAATAGACGGGTAAAAAATAAATCATCCTCCATTTACCTGTATGGGAGGTACCCAAAGGAAAAATGTTTTATAAGATTTTATTTCACAGTTTTGTAGGTGTGACTCATATCTATAACTGTGCCAAATTACGGATTTGTATCACTTAGGGTCTCTGAGTAAAGTGGATGGACGGACATGGCGAAACTATAAGGGTCCCTTGTTGTTAAACTACAGAACCCTAAAAATCGAATGCATAAAATATCGTTTAAAGAAAAAAAATTATACTCTATGTCACCTCACCACTAAGAGGAATCTAATGACATCACATGTGTATAAAACAATCAAGTCGTTTGGGCTACAGAGCGTGGTAAAGGATTAAACATACCTACTTACATATTACATACATATAGGTACTCGAAAATCAGTACCCTCCTTCTGGGGAAGTCGGGTAGAAGGTACTGCAATGCCGAGCTCATCTACTTTACTATTGAAAATAGGCCTAAGAAGTCCGATTTCTATCAAGCATTTTTTCACATCATTGTTGATTTATTACAAAATTACCAAGTGTTAAATAATTGTATTCTTTCTTCATGGTACAATGATAATATACCAACATATTATGCTAGCCGGCAAGCCTCAAACGTTTGTCCTCGTCATCGACCTTTGTTTTTTTTTTTTAATTTTTTTTAAACAACCCACATAACGTAGTCGAGGACTGTGACGGTTAGAAACTTAGGAACATTCTAATTTTAAAAAATCGGCCAAGAGCGTGTCGGGCCACGCTCAGTGTAGGGTTCCGTAGTTTCCCGTCCGTCACAATAAGTGTTCCCACTTATGAGTTTAAAGGTGGGTAGCCATTATATTCGCGCTCCAGCAGCGCTCCGCGCTCCTGCAACTGCTCCCGGTAGTGGGTACGTGCGCGAACATGGAGCGTGCAACATTGCACGCTCCGCGGCAGGCGCTCCGACTCATGATGGTTTTTAGCGCGAACACAAAGGGGAGCGCAGTGTGTTAAAGGGGAGCGCATGTAGAAGTGCGCGCCACGTATCCATTGGAGCAGTTGCAGGAGCGCGGAGCGCCGCTGGAGCGCGAACATAGTGGTAACCCAACTTAAAAAGGCTATTTGTTACGGAACTCTAACAATTACGGAACACTAAAAACGGGCCCACAAAGGACGGTGATAACTAAAAAAAAGAGTTATAGATTCCAACCACACATGGAAAGTTCGAGAAAATGTTGTCTATTTGAGTCCCACCACGAGTAGTGGGTAGGGGTTGTAACATGGAGTGATAACCAGCGTCATTTAGTAATTTAAATACTGCAGTATTGCTGTTACTAAGGTAGTCTTCGTTAAAATCTCCAAATATAATGCAAGAACTATTATGCGACAGTAAATTACTTATAAAACCCACTGCGACGCTGTTGGGGCATTTGCATGATCTATATAAGGCTACTATTTTCACATTATTTACTTCAAAAGATACTGCTTCACAGTGCTCAGTTCCGGAAATTTCACTGTAAGATCGTGGGTTGGAATATTCTAGATTATGTTTTATCATTGCAGATACACCAAAGCCGGGGTTTGCAGAATACTGTTTCGGGCCATTTGTTCGAACTATTTCTTCAAAATTATTCATATTGAATAAATCTTGAAGGCAACTCCAAGTTTCTACGGCTAAATAAATGTCGCATGCCATCGTCTGCGGATCGGTTACTACATCCTGCAAGTGTTTACGTAGAGATTGTACGTTATGGAACATAATTTGGCAGGAACTGCGGGGCTCTCTTAAAAAGCGATATATGGGAATCAGGGGATTTAATTTTAATTTTCGCATTTCCGTTACGACGGAATCATGCTCAGATGGTGGACGTGGAGGACGAAAGGTCTCGGTAACAATGAATAAACCTTTTGAGCTAGTGGCACGTGAGCAGGCGACGTATAACATAGATCTTAAAATATTGGGCTTTAAATGTACTACAACTTTTTCTAAGGTGGAACCCTGACTTTTATGTATAGTAACAGCTTCAGCGGGAACTACTGGGAATTGACTGCGACGCACTTGTAAGTTTGAAGATTTGTACCTTTTCACAGTGTACGTAACTGGCTCTATTGGAGTCCAATTATTTTTTAGCCGTGTTTGATAACGAGTGAGGGATGTTGAGCTCTGAATTCTTTTTAATTTGCCTATATTTACGTCATCGAAACATATCCAAATGCGTAATGGTCTTCTCTCACCGGTAGTTGGATTGACTGCAAAATCAATCGCAGTCAGTACCCCCGTGGTTCCATTCACTAGTCCGTCTGACGTGTTAATATTTACTGTCATCATATATTTAGCCGTGATTTTTAAAGTTATAGCATTAGGTAATCCGTAGGTTTGAGACGTGGGTAACTTGGCAACTGTGTTTAGAGCTTTTTCTTTCATAGCAGGATTAGCTTCGCCACTTACTCTATCCACAGCCCGGGAATCGCTCCTTCGGTAGTCATATTTGAGAGTATTTTAGAATTATGCCCATCAACTTCTCGGTTACTGCTGAATAGATGAACTGCGCCCTTACACGTGTCTGGAAGTGATGATTTACTAAAGCACCGACCTTCAATTAAATTGACATCTTCAGGTGACATACATCCACTAGCCATATTATTTAATGCCGTGGCAAAGGCAACATCATCCCTTTGACGCATTATTTCTTTAAGCTCTGTCAGTACAAATAAATCCCAAAGCGGCGTACCTGCTATTTCTGCTAAAGGATTTCGAGAATTAGCTTGAAACACCCAGTTGTCGCCAACAGGTGGTAATTGTCTGAAGTCTCCAACTACTATCACTGAAATTCCAGAAAAGAAGGTAGAAGAATGAAATATTTGCTGAAGTCTACGATTTATTTGATGGAATGTCCTGGATCCTAGCATTGAAATTTCATCAATTACAATTAAACGTAGTTTTGCTAGTTTTGTGGCCAGAGTATTGGCCACACTTGGTGACAGCTCTGGTAAAATATTGCCCGCTTGAGACACTGGAAGTCCAAGTGCGCTATGGATTGTTTGCCCTCCTATTCCGAATGCAGCTTTACCGGTAAAAGCTGTTAAAAGTATTTTTAATTCATCGGGATTACTACCAGCTTCTCTGTTAAATAAGAGAGTTAGGCATTGATAAATTGCTTTAATCAGAATACTTTTGCCAACGCCAGCCCCACCACTGATAAATAAATATAGTGGATGTGGAGAAGTAATGGAAAAGTGTTGATAAATATGAAACAACGTGTCTCTTTGAGCATCATTTAGTTTTCTAGTAAGAATCAAAAAATCGTCATGGGACAAGACAGGTGGTTGCGCAATGAAAGTTGAGGGGTCACCACACAATTGCGGCCCGGGATTACCGCCTGGAATGAGTTCTTCTGCTATATCTACTGTTTGCGTCTCAAATTCAAAGCCTTCAAATACATCCACGTTGACTCCTCTTCCTTGCAAATCTTCTTCTTCGTTTATTAATTCTACATTTCTTATTTCTGTTAGCAATGTTTCAAACATTTCAGCATCACCTAGTTTATTGAATTGTTTACTTTCGGCCTTTATTCTTTCTTTATACTCGTCAAATATGTCCTTTATATTTATGTTGGGATTTAGTAATTCTTCCTCCTCGCTTCGCCAAGGGATGTATAGCATTATCTGTTCCCTATAGAAATTGTCTGGATCATCAATGTAACTGTACCGGCGAAATCGTATTACTCGAGTTTTAGTTCTTTTCCGTATGTATCCTAAATTATCTTGCAAAGGAATCCAATTCCCTTCCGCTTCAACTTCTTCAACAGCCTGGGAATAATTAATTGCTTGAGAACTGTCATTGAGAGTTTCTATTGAACTAGCTGAATGAGTTTTTTTGGAATAGGTGTAATATGCTACAAAATGGGAAAGACTTATGTTTTCTAACGATAGTGGTCGTTTTGAATAATAATCAATAATACCCTTTTGGAATATATCGGAAGAATCAGGTTCGAGGCTTTGCAAATCAAGGTAACTTTTTAAAATATGCACTCGCTCTTGTGGCAAACTAGTGTTTATGTACATTGCAGCTTCACTAGCTCGTGACAGTGGTAAACCAGTCAGTACATAAATTGCCTCTTGAGCAGAGATCTCACTAGAATTTAAGAATACATTAGATACTATTCTTAATGAGTCTTTAACACTTTTATTTCCTTTTTTAGCTTCGTCCAAAGCTTCACGCAAAAGACGAGACATCCCTCGGTCAGCCTTGTTAATATAGTCAACAATATATACTGCGCACGCAAAAGGGTCTAATATGAATTGGATGTCCATGTTTGCTTTGTGCAAAGCTAAGATTTTTTTTACTAAAAGGATTAATAAATACATCCTGAGGTCTTCGTTGAAGGACTACCGTAGGTCGTTTTAAGGTGCTTCTAATAGCCAATATGTAATCTTCATAACTAACTCTAATCCAGTCCAAAAAAATCAACGAAAGTGTATATTTCTGCAGGGATATTTTGTATTTTTTGGCAGATGTCTTTTGCCAATTGTTTTGACTTTTTGAACTCTGGATCGTCTTTTGAAAGTTCTTTTAATACTTTTGTTTTATCCATGGGGAAAAATGGTATTCCAAAGCGACACAGTCTATCTGATGTTGGCCGGCATGTATGTGTATGTTTATGTAGTTGTAGACGTCTAAGTTCATCAGGTACTTCAGTGCTGTTACAGGAAATAATATTGTCAACAAATTTGGAAATATCACGAGCAGATGCTGTATCACCGGGTACAAAAGTGGGCGCTTCGTCTAACCATAACATCATATGAGCATGAGGCGATCCTCTATGCTGAAATTCAATGCGATAATAAAAGTGTGTGATTTTATAATTTAAGAAAGGTCCAGATGAACAGGACCAGGTTTTTTGAATTTCTTTTAATTTGATTTCAAAATATGTGGCGCAAATGAACGGATCGGATTGTATAAGGCGAGTTTTTGTATCGTATGGCAAGTTTTCCGCTTCAAGCTCAGTAAGTTTTTTCTTATCAACTACTTCACTAAGCAAAATTAATAATGGAATCCATTGTACTTCAGCAGCAGATATAGTTAAAAATAAAGTGGGAACACCGAACTGTCTAACCATTGCCAACAACTTTTTCTTTTCACTTTCCCAGTGAGCAGGAGAATTTCTAATTCCTCCAAGAACACGATACCCATCGTCATGTTGAACTAAATTGTCAACAAAATTATTTTGAAGCACATTGCATGCAAATACAGGGGCACCTCGGACAGTTTTTTTGCGTAAACAGGTCGTAACATTATTTTTGACGGCAATAGTTTGTTGCTTTTTCAGGGCAGTAAATAGGTAATCAGGTCTTACAGCTCGCCTGTCATTTCTGGAAATTTCTGAACGTGTGACTTCAGAATGACTTAAGTTCACGAGGTATTTTCGCTCAATAGCGCAATGTACTTTTATGAAAGCCAGCTCTTCCAGATGTCGATCAAAAAGCAAGGAAATTGGCCTTTCACCTTCTCCTGGAGCCATAACTATTGATAGGTCTTGGTTTTCATCTAACAGAGTTTCTGTGCCACCAGGATTTACATCGGGGATCTCATCAACATTGCTCTCCTGCTCAGGTGAACTACAGGTACATTCGACAGTGTCTTCAGTTTCATTATTTGTCCATGAACCTTCAAGTTCTATACCATATGTCCGAAACAGATCACACGTTACTAAATATTCCGCTGCTCTCCGTATGATTTCCGGGCGGACTTGTTCTTTTCGACCATGTTTATAACAGAATTTACGCTTCAACTCTACAGTGATGACATTGTCATCATTTATCGACCGAGGCAAAGCTTTTACCATGTTATTAATTTTTACAGGTACATTAATAACATTTCCTGATAAACCATGCTGATATCCTAATCCCTGGCCTCTACGAACTATTTTCAAAAATACGTGACGAGGACTTACTAATCTCTCCTCCATTGAAGTTAATTTATTCAAAACATCCGGAATATCTGGAAACTTCAATCCATTAGCTATTGCTAATCGTGGCATTCGCCCTTGAGTTATATATTTAGCACACGTACAGCAAAACTCAGCAGATTCATCACAAGGATTTAAATTAAATACACTTAACGCGAATTCTGCATTATATTTAGTCGAAATAGAATGCTTTATTAGTTTCCTTACAGAATTTTTGTGCCATAGTCTACCACAACATGAACAAGGATGATTGTATCCTTCCTTGGTGTTATTAAAATATTTTCGTTTAACATTATCCCAATCATTAATAGAATTACAACGCGCCGATTGTCGAGCTCTGGTGTCTCTAGCTCGTTCAATTTGTGAATAATGTGGATCTTCGCGAGCTATTTGGTGAGCCTGGGTATCACGCCGTTGCTCTATATCACGGAAGACTGGATTTTCCCGAGCTATGCGGTGAGCATGCGTATTTCGCTGCTGTTCTGTATCCCGGAAGATAGGGTTTTCTCGAGCTTCACGGCGAGCCTGCGTGTCCCGCTGCTGTTCTGTATCCCGGAAGATAGGGTTTTCACGAGCTAAGCGATGAGCCTGCGTGTTGCGTTGTTGCTCTGCCTGTATAATGACGGGAATCTGACGAGTGGCTCTGTGGCTCTCAGTATTTCGTATTTGCTTAGTCTGTGTGTAATCAGTATTTTTTCTTCTACGTTTGGCTTGGCCGGACCCAGTATGTTCGTTGTTGGCATATCTTAATGTAGGACTTGGTTTTTCTTGAGTACTATACGTAAGTGCTAAACAGTCAATGGTCTGGATATCATTAGTCGGATTTTTGTCTTTCTGTGATTCATCTGTAAATGTTGGACTTTCAATTATCTGCGTACTACCTGTAAACGTTGGACTTTCAAATATCTGCGTACTACTTGTAGACGTTGGACTTTCAAATATCTGCGTATTATCTGTAAATGTGGGGTATTCAATGTTTTTCTTGTAATTAACGTTTTGACTTTCAGTTTCTTGAGACTGTGTCTTTTGAGACCTTTTGTTTTTTTTTCTTTTCGGCATCCTTAATTTTACATTTTTCTTTCTTTGCTAGTATATTAAGGAACAAATTTGCTGGTGGCCGGCCAGCTCTTCTTGCGGTGTTAGTTGATGGGAAAAGTTCTAATACACCTCGAGATAACATATCAAACAAATGACGTCGCATGTCCTCGGCAACGAAATTGATACAGGATGGATTAACTCTCAAAGCTAAAGCGGTGGCAAAACAAATGGCGAATAGCCCACACTCAATACTATTATTTGGTTGACGTTGGACACTAGGAAATTGTATTTTATTATTATCCAAGTATGGGAATAGTGCGTTAACGTAAACGTGCTGCGAATGACTTAAACTATTATATAAACTATCATAGACCCGTAATATTCCATTGATGTAATAAATGCAAATCCAATGCCCCACAAACCCGACTTCTCCGCCATATATAATTTGTAAATGAGACTCGTTTTGAGGCACAGGCTCTATTAGTTCCGGATAAAGAAAAAGAGACACTTCTCTAGGCCGAAACAATGTGTGTTGGGCTAACACATCATGAAAGGCGCGCACAACGTCGTCCTCAACATGATTATTACTGTTCAAAATATACGAGAACATTTTAATACCGGACAATAAGTAATTATAAACAAGTGTGTTTAACACTATTTTAACAAACTAGCCCACTTCAAATCGTAATTAGCTAGGAGTTGTACGTATCAAGTAACTGCGTACTGTGCGTACATACAAAATTAATATGAACAATATCCGCAAAAGAAGTTAATTTAACCCACAATCTAATTTTATCAAACCTCGACGACTATTAGATTGTGCACTCATAGGATTACGAATATGTTTAAGTGCAACTTCCTTTACCACGGTAGGTCATGAAAGCACGGAAAATATTAACATTGACTTTTAATAAAATAACGTCATTATGCAACGCCATCTATCGAACCATTTATGAACTGGTTTTTACCTTAACATTTTGATGGCGTTAAAAAAATGAATTTTAGATTTGTTCTAAATTGCCTTAGCATGTTCTTGATAAAAGTTTTATGTTGTTATAAGATACCGCCAATGCCAAGGAGAGACCAACCGAACAATTCGATAACACCCGACCAATGTAATAAGTACCTACAGCGACATCTCTCGGGGATTGGGTTATTAATTAATACATAGACGTGCCAGAAGTTTTCGGTGGTAATTTTGGATTGCGAGAACCGATTTTAATAATTCTTTTTTTTGTTTGAAAAAGATATGTAAACGAAGTTAAAAAAAATGCTTGCATATACGATTCTACTACAAACTTAGTCCAGAAATTATTTTGTACAACTTTTTGTCTTTTTTGTACAAAAACTGTTTCCATCCAAGTTCAAAATAATTTTCCTGGAAAGTCCTTACAAAGTTCTACTTTACAGATTTTTTTCATATTTTCTAAACTCATGGTTCAAAAGTTAGAGGGGGGGGGACACATTGTTTTTTTACTTTTGGAGCGAGTATATCCGAAATTAATGACATTATCAAAAAATGATCTTAGTAAACCCCTATTCATTTTTAAATACCTTTCCAACAATATATCACACGTTAGGGTTGAAATTAAAAAAAAAAATCACTTCTCACTTTACATATAGGGGGGCTACCCTTATAAAACATTTTTTTCCAATTTTTATTTTACCACTTTGTCGGCGTGATTGATACACATATTGGTACCAAATTTCAGCTTTCTAGTCCTAACGGTCACAGAGATTAAGCGAGGACGGACAGACGGACAGACAGACATGGCGAAACTATAAGGGTTCCTAGTTGACTACGGAACCCTAAAAAGGGCGCGTTCGTAGCATTTTTACTCTTTACGTATGTGTACGATATTAAAAAGTTGAATATACGTATATTTTTTTATAGTAAAGGGGACAAACGAACATACGGCTACCGCCGCCCATGAACAACTGCACCACCAGGGAAACTGCAGGTGCGTTGCCGGCCTTTTAGAAAGGAATAAGCTCTTTTCTCGTCGGTCGTCGGTATAAGGTCGTGTCGGTCCGCAAAAATCGCCGGTGGTAAACTATTCCACAGTGAGGTCGTAATCGGAAGAAAACTCCTAGTGCAAAAAAAGTGGTGGACCGCCAAGCATCAATATTAAAGTATATACAAAATATATATAATACATAACATAAATAAGTATATACAAAAACACAATATAATCGAAAAGTTAACATAGTTAAGTGAATAAAAGAAAATGCAAACCATCTAATGGTAAATTTAAAAGGTAAATATACAACCGATTATACTACTATTGAAAGGATCTACTCCCATTC